CGGTGCCGCATGTGCCAGCCCTGCCTGCAGGCTGAGGAGCGGCCTGGCATGGCAGCCAGGCCAGGTTTGCATGGAGGACGGCTTGGAGCCACGGCGTGCCCAGCCTCTGCAGTCAGACAGATGTTGATAGCAATGCGTACGGCAGGAGTACTCTCATGATTTCCCCCAGTATATCAGTTGGGCTTTCAATCGGATCATAAGACCCAAACGTATGTGTGCAGTGTCCTATCAGCTCACCAAAGCTTATGCATTCGTATTGCCTACAACTCGGGAGCTAGTGTGTTTCTACTAATACTGGTCTGGCAATTGGATTTAATTTTTTGTGAAATCTGATGTAGCTGTTGTAAGGCAAGTGCACCATGAGCTGGACGAACTGTGGGAGGATGCTCTTACCTGCTGTGCTTTTGTATGTTAAGAGACCTCACTGCTGCTGTGCAGTGACGGCAGTTACACTGCCCAAACCCCCGAGATATTACAGAATTCAAGAGGGGAGAACACCTATAGGTTATTTCTTTTTTTGTAAATTACTTTATTTGAGGTAAAGAAAAGCATTGGTATAAAATAGCCTTTCAAATACAGCAGTCGTTTACTTGCTGTGTCAGCAATATGTCTGAAAGAAAAGGCATGCTCCGTAACCTACATTTCAAAGGTCGTAGCGCTACTGCTCCAGTCTTCTGAAAATCACAGTTCAAGCCAGCATCATGGCTGGTTTGAAGATTTGGTCTGTTTTGCTGGTTATACTATACCATTTCTGTCAAAGATGTATCCCAAGTGGAATTTCAACACATGTTGAAATAGGTAAGACATGTTCAGAATTAATTTTCGTGTCTTTTTTGTTGCTTGGGAAGAGAAGTAAAATCGGATTCGGCTGGAAAGCAAAGGGAGGAAATAATGTTAAAGTAATGAGCATTCTACATAATTTAAAAAAATGTGAATAACACATAGGATAGATGAGTAGTTTGGTTTTGGAGTTTGAAACTTTACTGTTTTTATAAGCAAAATGCTTGAATCAATTTGGTTGCATATTTTTCTGTCTTCTAAAACACAGGCATTATGTAACTGGAATGTTTGTGTCTGTGAGTCTTACGCAGACAGGGTTTGGTTTGGAGAAAGAAGAGGAATACTTTACGCAGTTTATGGGATTGTTATATTTAAACTGGAGAATAACACAGATAATTTGTGGTAGCTCTGTTTTCAAATTACCGTGTATTAATTTTGACATACCTGCATAAAATAGACAAAATGCTGTAATGTGTTTGTATCTATGGCTAACATCATGAAAATTTTGTTCTGCGTCTCTTTCTGGTAGGTTGCTGTCTGTAGCCTGAACAGCCTAGATTTGTAGAGAATGAAGGAGAGAACTGAGTGAACATCGAAGTGGGGAAATAGTTCTGGGTTTAATTTCTTGTTTGCATGTGTTATTTTTAAAATCTGGTTTCTGCTGTAGTTCTTGCAAGAACACTCATGAGTAGTGTGAGGTTATTCTGAAATGTTTACTCGTAATAAATTAACAGTTTTCATTGTTTGCTCTTCTGTTTCTGATTCTAAATCCGTTGCTCAAACAGATAGTAAAACACACAATGTGGTCTCTATTCAGGTAATCTTCTCAGACTTTAAGTACTGAATACATGCAACTTTGAACAAGTGAAAGGCTGGGATTATTCATGGCGTTCATTTGAGACTGAGAATATGTACCCTTACTGAGTGTTGTACCCTTGGTCAGCATCCTACAACCATTCGCTTTTCCTAACGATATGTCAAGAAACCCACAGTAATCGGTAGAAGAAGTCACACTGCCTGAGGTTAGGCAAGCACATGCGTCTTCTCAAGCTCAGGGCTCTAAGAAGTCACACTGCCTGAGGTTAGGCAAGCGCATACGTCTTCGCAAGCTCAGGGCTCTGATTACCGAGTATGAGCTTCTGAAAACTTGAAATAACAGATTTGGCAGAATAGAGTGTATTTGCAAGAAATCTACAAAGATAAACAAGAGCTTGTGGATCTGTCCCAAAGCAGTCATTTTTTTCTAATCAAGGAAGCATATTGCAGAAAACCTGCATTTATATAATTTGAATATCCTGGTTGTCTGAGGAGTAGTGTGTACACTGAACTATTGGGTCATAGTTTACAACAAACTTTGTCCATTTGTCTGAAAATGATATTAAACAGGGTTCAGCTCTGATGTCGCTAAAATCAGTGCTTTTATTAATGTGCAAATAAAAGTCCATGATGATAAGATACTGGAAGTTATTGCCAAATCCAAACACTGAGTATTCCAGGGGAAAAAAACAAACCTATAGAAAGGAACTCCTCTGACTCAAAACCAGCACCAAAGTCTATCCTGGACAGACTTCTGAAAGTACTTTTAAAACGGTGAAAAGCTCTGCCTGTTCAAAATGTTGATCATGTTCGGTGTGCTCGACAGAGCTGTGCTGTGTCCTACTTGCCATGGCCTTGTTGCTGGAGGCAGGTCTGAGTGGGGAGGCTCTTCCCCCCCCAGGGGCTCCCGTCGGACC